TGTGTGGTTTAACTTTCCCCTGTAGGAAGGGGAAAATATCAAAATAATTTGTAATAACAGGCCCACTTTTTTATAGCTAACAGATACTTGGTACATACTAATTAGTAGTTATATCATAGCTAAGAATAGAACCTTCTGACATGAAATCATGAGCATTCTCAATTCACATTCTTCTGTAGTTTCTGTCTTAATCAGTTCTCAAGCCCAAATCATTGACTGTAAGTTGATCATTGTGAGCTTCATATTTTACATTTCTATATATCCAAATAGTAAACCAAGATATCATGAATAAAAGTTGTATAATTAAGATATGAAGCAATAATTTAAAAACCAATGTCCATGACTTTAGTATAAAATAAAATGGAACCTTTTTATAAGTCATTTAATGTACTGTGTATATAATTAAAGTACTTTGAATAAAATTAAATAATACTAGCAAATCCGCAGATAACTTAAAGGTAAAGCTAATATAATAGATCAAGAAAGTTATTAGAATGGTATTTTCAAAGTCAGGATGATTCCTTTTATTATTGCAAGATAATTACCATATGCCTTCAATCTTCCTTTAAATCTCAATTATCTCCTGTACCAACCTCTGTGAATAAGAATTATCCCAAACTTTTACCTGAAGTTTCAAAAATAATCTTGAAATTTAAATGATTCCAAGAAGGAAGAAAATATTTCTATTGTTTCATGAATTTCTAATAGTTCCAATATATCAAAAAGATATGCTAGGGCAGAGAAAAAAATGCATTATTACCTGTCTCTTAAGTTAGACATGTTCTATCCTTTATGGGTGAGCAATTATGGAATGGTGTAGCAGGCTAAGCCTTTGCCTGCGGTGTCAGCACCCTCTCTAATTAAAAGATTTATTTCTTGATTTGAAAGGCAGAGTTACAGACAGAGAGAGGGAGATACAGAGAGAGAGGTCTTCCATTCACTGGCCCGCTCCCCAAATGGCCGCAATGGCTAGAGCTGGGCTAATCTGAAGCCAGGAGCTAGGAGCCTCTTCTGGGTTCCAGGAGCCAGAAGCCTCTTCCGGGTGCCAGGAGCCAGGATCCTTCCCTGAGTGCCAGGAGTGAGGAGTCTCTTCCGGGTGCTGGGGCCCATGTGCTTGGGCCATTCTTCACTGCCCTCCCAGACAATGAGCAGGGAGCTGGACTAGAGGAGGAGCTGCCGGCACTCAAACTGGCACCCACATGGGATGCTGGCGCTGCAAGCAGGGGCCTAACCTACTACACACCAATGCTGGCCCCGGAGAGAGCACTCTTTCCACCACGGACCTTGCTCAGAGGAGCTGTTGTGCTTCCACTGAGGACTACCCTCTGACGGATGGCTCTCGTCCGCGCTCTTTTCCGCTGCGGAGGGATCTGTATCTGGTTACAGGCAGAGTGGATAGTGAGAGAGAGAGAGAGAGACAGAGAGGAAGATCTTCTTTTTGCCGTTGGTTCACCCTCCAATGGCTGCCGCGACCGGCATGCTGCGGCTGGCGCATCGTGCTGATCCGAAGCTGGGAGCCAGTCTGCACCCATCAGTGTGTCATGCAGCCCAGGCTCACATCTGCCTCTCAGCTAGAACACCTGGTCCAGGCAGTGGAAAACCAGTCTGAAGTGTGATAGAGTGAAGAAATGGCCATCATCAAAGAAGGAGGTACCTTTCTCTGAAGGGAGGAGAGAACTTCCACTTTGACTATGACCCTGTCTGAATAAGATCGAAGTTGGCGAATTCAAAAGGCTTCCATAGCCCTGGCAACTCATGACTAGAGCCTAGGGAGATTACTGACGCCATAAACAAGAGTGTCAAATTGTTAAGTCAACAACAGGAGTACTTACTCCTCATGTGGCATCTGTCCTTAATGTGTTGTCCAATGTGAAGTAATGCTATAACAAGTACTGAAACAGTATTTTTACAGTTTGTGTTTCTGCATGGGTGCAAACTGATGAAATCTCTACTTAATATATACTGAATCAATCTGTATATAAAGATAATTGAAAATGAATCTTGATGTGAATGGAATGGGAGAGGGAGCGGGAGATGGGAGGGGTGTGAATGGGAGGGAAATTATGGGGGGGGAGCCATTGTAATCCACAAATTGTACTTTGGAAATTTATATTTACTAAATAAAAATAAATAAAAAAAGAAAACAAAACAAAACAAAAAAGAAATGGCCAATAAGCCTGCAGATAGGAATATTCTGGGCAAAATCAAAAGATATAAAATTAATTATTTCAGAGGTGCACAAAGAAGTTGAAAAATAGATGGGAATTCTTCAAGTGTAGAAATCAAATTGGGCCATGGATGTGAAATAAAAGAATCATGGTTTTGTTGACAGAAGACCAGAAAAATTTAATGAAAAAGTGGAATAAATTCTCAGAAATATAAAATTCAGGAAGATATTCTCCAGTGAAAATATAGAGAAAGAGCAAGGAAAACCTTTATTCTTTGTAGATATAAGCCCAGAAACTTCTAGAAATTATAATGAATAGTACATTCATAACATATACATATTATTATAGAGTGTCTGAATAATAAGATAACAATTTACATCAGATGACTAGATTGCATCTTATGGTGATAAAGTAGAAGTGAACTAAATCAGGTGATAGTGTGTTTGATCCCAAAATAAAAGATATATTTATTACCTAGGCATGTGTTTTCCTCATTTCCTTTTTTTTTAGAGATTTATTTATTTATTTGAAAGTCAGAGTTACACAGAGAGAGAAGGAGAGGCAGAAAGAGAGAGAGAGAGAGAGAGAGAGAAAGAGAGAGAGAGAGAGAGAGAGAAAGGTCTTCTATCTGATGGTTCACTCCCCGATTGGCCGCAGTGGCCAGAACTGCCCCAATCCGAAGCCAGGAACCAGGATCCTCTTCCTGGTCTCCCATGTGGATACAGGGGCCCAAAGACTTGGGCCATCTTCTGCTTTCTCAGAGCATAGCAGAGAGCTGGATTGGAAGTGGAGCAGCCGGGACTTGAACTGGCACCCATATGGGATGCCAGCATTGCAGGAGGTGGCTTTACCCTCTACACCACAGTGCCGGCCCCTTCCTCACTTTCTATATGGTCCTCATTAAACAATTTCTTGTATTGCAAAGTAATACTAGGCTCAATTTTGAAACAATTTTAGATTTGGAGAAAAGGATCAAAAATAAAGTTTCTTCTTATACCTTTCACATAGATTTTCCAAATAACATTTTACCACATTTGTCCCCCGCCCCTTCCTCTCTCTTTCCTCCTATTTGTATATTTTTGGAGGAAACTACTTGAGTTTAAATTATAGACATGATACTTCTTTGCCCCTAAATGCCCCAGCATATAAAAAGTAACTATTTCACATAACCATACTATGATAGTGATATCAGAATTTTAACACAAATATGTTCCTGATTTAAGATGATTTACTTGCAACTTTTTAATTTTACAATGGTGAAAAACTCATTTGGATTCAAGAAAAGCTTTACTTTGAATTTTGATTTTTTTTTTCTTGTTGGCAATGTGCAATATGATACTCTCCCCCAATTCTGGGAACCATGGTTCCCAGCCAGGCATATGATCATGAGGCTGAACAACTTTTGAAACTCCACAGTATATCATGTTGGTAAGTTAAGGTGTTTGGTAGGTTTGGTGTACCAAGTGGATTTTCTACTCATATCTTTAACTTATGACACATTCATTGGGATGTAAAATCAAGGACAATCTGTATAATACTATCATACAGTATTCAGACTTTGATCAAATTTTCTAATTTCTCCACTAATACCTTAAGAGTATAATATTTTGCACCAAAAAGGCAACCTGTTGAAGTGAAATGGACACTATGAGAAACAGTGACTTGATCAGCTCTTGTCCTGTTGATGTACAATGTAATACTTTATCCATTTTAGTATTTTTTTGTTCTAGTACTATTGGTTGAACTCTGTAATTAACACACAATTATTCTTAGGTGTTTAAATTTTAACTGAAAAGTGATCCCTGTTAAATATAAGAGTGGGAATAAGAGAGGGAGGAGATGTACAATTTGGGACATGCTCAATTGGACTTGCCCCAAATGGTGGAGTAGAATCGTGCCAGGGGATTCCAATTCAATCCCATCAAGGTGACATGTACCAATGCCATCTCACTAGTCAAAGTGATCAGTTTCAGTTCATAATTGATCATAATGATAGGATTAAGAATCAAAGGGATCACATAAACAAGACTAGTGTCTGCTAATACTAACTGATAGAATTAAAAAGGAGAACAATCCAACATGGGAAGCGGGATACACAGCAGACTCATAGAATGGCAGATGTCCTAAATAGCACTCTGGCCTCAGAATCACCCCTTAAGGCATTCGGATCTGGCTGAAGAGCCCATGAAAGTATTTTAGGCATGGAAAGCCAAGACACTCTGGCAAAACAACAACAACAACAACAACAACAACAACAACACCTAAATGAAAGATCTCTGCGAGTGAGATCCCATTGGAAAGAACGGGCCATCAAAGAAGGAGGTACCTTTCTCTGAAGGGAGGAGAGAACTTCCACTTTGACTATGACCCTGTCTGAATAAGATCGAAGTCAGCGAACTCAAAAGGCTTCCATAGCCTTGGCAACTCATGACTAGAGCCTAGGGAGATTATTGATGCCATAAACAAGAGTGTCAAATTGTTAAGTCAACACAAGGAGTCACTGTGTACTTACTTCTCATATGGCATCTGTCCTTAATGTGTTGTCCAATGTGAAGTAATGCTATAACAAGTACTGAAACAGTATTTTTACACTTTGTGTTTCTGTGTGGGTGCAAACTGATGAAATCTCTACTTAATATATACTGAATCGATCTGTATACAAAGATAATTGAAAATGAATCTTGATGTGAAATGAATGGGGGAGGGAGCAGAAGATGGGAGGGGTGTGAGTGGGAGGGAAATTATGGGGGGGAAGCCAATGTAATCCATAAACTGTACTTTGGAAATTTATATTTACTAAATATAAAAAAGAAAAAAAGTAAAAAAAAAAAAACCAGAATGAAGTTCCCCCTCATCCCAGCTAGAATAGCAACCACATAGAAATCAACAAAACATAAATGCTGGTTAGGATGTTGGGAAAATGTTCCCTAATATACAATTTTTGGGAACATAAACTAGTATGGACATTGTAGAAGACACTGTGGAGATTCCTCAGAATCTGAAAATAGATCTACTATATGACTAGCAATCCCACTTATGGGAATTTATCCAAATGAAATGAAATCAGCATATGGAAAAATTTATGTGTACCCAAAAGTTTATTTCAGCTCAATTCACAATAGCTTAGTTATGGAATCAACGAATGCTGGATAAACAAATTATTGTATATATACACAATGGAATACTAATCAGCAATAAAAAAGGAATGAAATCTTACTTTTATGAAAGATTGGGAACAGGTTTTTAACACTTTTATTTTTAAAGATTTATTTATTTGCTCTTTTTTTAAAGATTTATTTTATTTACTTGAAAGACAGAGTCACAGAGAGAAATAGAGACAGAGGTTGTACATTTGCTGGTTCACTCTCCAGATGGCCACAATGGCTAGAGCTGTGCCGATCCAAAGCCAGGAGCCAGGAGCTTCTTCCAGATCTCCCATGTGGGTACAGGGGCCCAAACACTTGGGCCATCTTCTATTGCTTTCCCAGGCCATAGCACAGAGCTGGATTGGAAGTGGAGCAGCCAGGACTACAACGGGCACCTATATGGGATGCTGGCGCTTCAGGCCAGGACTTTAACCCACTGTGCTACAGTGCTGGCCCCAGGATTTATTTATTTATGAGACAGAAAGAGCTACAGAGAGAAAGAAGAGACACACAGAGAGATCTTCCATCTATTGTTTCACTTCCCAGATGGCTACATATCTGAGACTGGGACAGGCTGAAGCTAGGATCCAAAAGATTCTTATGGGTCTCCCACAGGGGTAGCAGGGGCCAAGAGACATGGGCCATTTTCCATTATTTTGGAAATGTATTTTAAAAATAATTATATAATACCCCATGGGAGACCAGGAAAAGCACCTGGCTCCTGGCTCCTGCCATCGGATCAGCGCGGTGCGCCGGCCGCAGCGCGCCGGCCGCAGCGGCCATTGGAGGGTGAACCAACGGCAAAGGAAGACCTTTCTTTCTGTCTCTCTCTCTCACTGTCCACTCTGCCTGTCAAAAAAAAAATAATTACATAGTATTTATTTTAAATAAGTTCACACAATGCCTAGATATAAAATGCATTGTATTCTTCTGTCAGATTATAACTTCCTCACACACACAAACAGCACCTTGCTTATAGCATGGGATTAAGGTAATCACAAAATCTCTGGCATGATTTGCCCACCTTCAGTCTCCAACCTTCAATGCCACTGCAGAGAGCTCTTTCTTAAAAGGTAAATCTTATCCAGTCACATACTGCTTTACAATTCCATCAATAACATTTAGATTAAAATACAAATTCCTGAGTTTGGCATACTAGATCCTCTAATATCTTACTCTTTCTAATCTATCTCCTATTTTCATAGAACTATGTGGCTTGAGCTATGCTGAACCGTATGTACATGGATTGTGTACTTCATTCTGCTGTCCTGAGGTGTGGGACTATATGGCCCACTTTGCACAGTGTGTCCATCTTTTTCTTAGTGACTTGCACTTCATTCTTAAAGACCAGTCTAGACATTACTTTCTTCTAAGAAGCCTTTCCTGACCGGAGACTAGTTAGGGTGATTCTTTTGTACTCTAAGAGCAAAAAGATGTTTGAGTACTTATCATAAGATACCATCAGTTTTGAAGCCTCCAAGAGGATTATTTTCTTGCTCAGTGCCCTCAGCAGATGGCATATGGCAGTAATTAAGGCATGTTAAATAAATCATATAAAGAATCAAGATATCAAGGATTAGAACTGCAAATACACAATAAAACACTTTCAACTAAACCTTACATGGTAGACAATGAAAAATATCTGAAAGGAAATAAGTTACAGAACTATCTAAATGTTTATGTAAATTATCTTTAAGTTTTTGTTTTTTATTCTTAAGCATAGTTTCCTTAGGTAAAAACAAACATAAGGTGATTTTTTTTGAAAATTAATTAAAGATGAAACAAGAGAATAACTACAAATTTTAGTAATTAGAAAACAGCACTTTGACAAAACAGAGGCCATAGAAATTAATGTACAATGCAATCATATTTATGCACATAACATGAAGCAAATTACTTAAATTCACTACTTCTCAGTTAGATGCTATTCTTCTAATCCTAACTTTTATGAAAGTAGCAAACAAGTAGGAAACTAGTAAGAATAGTAAAATACTACAAATATCTACACACATACTATTATTTTTTTTTCTTTTTTTTAAACTTTTATTTAATGAATATAAATTTCCAAAGTACAGCTTATGGATTACAATGGCTTCCCCTGCATAACGTCCCTCCCACCTGCAACCCTCCCCTTTCCCACTCCCTCTCCCCTTCCATTCATATCAAGATTCATTTTCGTTTCTCTTTATATACAGAAGATCAGTTTAGCATACATTAAGTAAAGATTTCAACAGTTTGCTCCCACACAGAAACATAAAGTGAAAAATACTGTTTGAGTACTCGTTATAGCATTAAATCTCAATGTACAGCACACTAAGGACAAAGATCCTACATGAGGAGTAAGTGCACAGTGATTCCTGTTGTTGACTTAACAAATTGACACTCTTGTTTATGGCATCAGTAATCACCCTAGGCTCTTGTCATGAGCTGCCAAGGCTATGGAAGCCCCCTGAGTTCACCAACTCTGATAATTTTTAGACAAGGCCATGGTCAAAGTGGAAGTTCTCTCCTCTCTTCAGAGAAAGGTACCTCCTTCTTTGATGACCCATTCTTTCCACTGGGATCTCACTCGCGGAGATCTTTCATTTAGTTTTTTGTTTTCCCCAGAATGTTTTGGCTTTCCATGCCTGAAATACTCTCATGGGCTTTTCAGCCAGATCCGCATGCCTTAAGGGCTGATTCTGAGGCCAGAGTGCTGTTTAGGACATCTATGGGTCTGCTGTGTATCTCACTTTCCATGTTGGATCATTCTCTCCCTTTTTGATTCTATCAGCTAGTATTTGCAGACACTATTCTTGTTTATGTGATCCCTTTGGTTCTTAGTCCTATCATTATGATCAATTGTGCACACATACTATTATGAACTATGATCTTGAGCAAGAAATATTGCTGCCAATTTTAAAAGCATTTCAGATAATGCTTAATTTCCAGAATTAAGTACTATTAAATAGAAAGAGAAAATAAAACATCTATAAGGAGCACAACTATGTGATTCTACCTGAAAATGATCTCATTATAGTTGGATATCTATAAATTTCCAAATGGTGAAAATACTAGAAAGGGGATTATAAAAAAGAACACCTCTGGATCTCCAGAGCACTTTTCAATGAGGTGCAGAGTTGACTAGACATAGTAAATAAGGTTAATGCCCAAATTTCACTTTAATAGGTTATTTTCCAAGCAGAAAGATATTCTGTAAACAGTTAAAAGTGAACACACACATAGAAAAAAAACCTGTTTATAAATTCTATGTAGGGTTGTCATATGGCTAGCCCACTGTAGGGGACTATGTAGGACCTGAGATCCTTTGTTGGAGGATGTCCAAACATCAGTCAGTATAGGTCACATCATCTATTTAAACCAATTCTCTGGAGATAAATGTGTTGAAAATAGTGTCTCATCTTTGATAGTGCAGTCCTCTATGAGGACTTTCTTTGTCTATATCTCCTGAGAGCAAATGAAGAATCAGCAATCATGTTGTTGAATAAGGTTGTTGAAAGGAATAAGAGTTTATGCTCCTTAAATCCAAGCACTCACCACAGCCTTCACAAATTTGGATCAAACATTCTAAATTAATTATAGAATTCTGTTTAGCTGTTCCTCCCAACATCCAAAACTATTAACATCTCCTGACTTCTGTTTGTTTCTTTCCTCTTCTCTCTGCTCCAGCACAATATGGCTTCTTAAATGTCCTAATGCTAATCTCTATAGGTATAGGGGAGGTAGCTAGAGGAAATGCACTTATTTATCCCAATTCATTTAACCTAAGGGTATATTATTTTTATTTTTATGTTTTACAATTGTTATAACTTAAAATATTAATTATATATTTAGTAGTGTTATACCAAAGCTAATGAAATACAGACTTCTGTTAGAAATTTCCCATTTCTTCTTCCAGCATCAGTGAAATGGTGTCAGGCTTCAAAGATGGAGGCTGGGTAAAGAAGAGGAAAGAAAACAGAAAAAAGAAAGAAAACAGAGTCTTTGAATAATTTGTTCCATATTTATTTATTCTTTCAAAAATATACCTACATCTTATGCTTCCAAATACGTATATTTGGCACGACTTGTTATGATATAATGATTTTTCTATCCATTGCTGGAATCTTTATAATTAAATATGCCATTTAAGAAAACTTGCAAAAAGTATTTTTGTTTTCTTTAGGTTTAAAGATTTATTTATTTGAAAGGCAGAGTTACAGAAGGAGAAGAAGGAGAAGGAGAAGGAAAAGAGAGAGAGAGTGTGCTCCCATCTGCTGATTCACTTCCTAGATGACTGTAACACCCAAGGCTGGGCCAGGCTTAAGCTAAGAGCCAGGAACTTCTGGGTGCCACATGGGTGGCAGGGTCTCATGAACTTGGGTCATCTTCTGCTACTTTCTAGATGCATTGTCAGGGATCTGGATCAGAAGTGGGGCAGCTGAGGCACAAACCAGCATCCATATAGGATGATGGCATTGCAGGTGGTGGCTTAACTAGCTATACCAAATGACAGATCCTCAATTTTATTTTTTAAAAATAGTTAAATATCCCATTGGTTCTAATGTATGGTAATATTAAGTAGGAACAGCAAAGAATACCTAATGATTTCCAGAATTTACAAGGCTGAGAAAATTTTGATTGATGTAATTAAAAGTTTTTCTATGAGACTTCCAAGAAAACATGAGAAAAACTCCATTTTATTACACACTAATTTTTACATATTAGGTATGACACTTTCCTGAATTTGATAAATAATGAAATACTTTCTCTGAGATTTTGAGTACGGGAATTAAAACAAATATTATTTCATCATTAAATGTCTTCAATTTAAAAAAGCTGTAATAGTATATAATTATTATCACTTAGTTTGCCAAATAGTTAAATCAAAGTGATAAAAGTGTAAATATCTTAAATATTGAATATAACTTATCTATGAGCTCTGAAAGAAATCCTATTTTTTTCAATTTAAAAATATCCTAATATACTATAATTCATTGGGAAATTATTCTGTTGAGTATTCTTACCTAATACTGCCTTAAATGGTAATCCTATGGTCACTGTAAAAAAAAACCATTATCATTATTGATAGAACACAGAAAAAGCCTTTAAAATATCATCACTTAAAACATTATAAGACCTAAAATATGATATAACATCTTATCTTAAAACCCAATTGAATTAATACGATTCAAAATTTTCAAAATTTCAGATATTTCATACTGCCAAGTAAATAACCAAATTAATTGGCATGTTTATGTGGTGCTGGCATCACAGGCAGTGGTTGAACATGTTGAGCCACAATGTCAGCTCCAAACTGCAAATAATTTTCTTTATATTGAACCCTGGAAATGATTAAGAATCTGTTAGTTCTCACTCTGTCTCTCCTTCTCTCTGTCAGCCTCCTTTCAACTAAATAAATCTCTAAGGAAAATGAGATCAGTGCTGTGGTACAGGTGTGGTGAGCTACTACCTCTAAGTCTCAGCTACTCCACTTCTATTCCAGCTCCCTGCTAATGTGCCTGGGGAAGCAGTGGAAAATGACTTAAATACTTTTGCTCCTGTCACCCCATGGGTGACCCAGATCACTGAGTTTCTGGCTCCTGGTTTCAGTCTGGCTCAGCCTAACTGTTGCAGCCATTTGAGGATGGATGGATGATGGATGATCAGTTTTTCTCTCTCCCTTCCTCCCTTCCCATCATTCTGCTATTCAAATAGATAGAATAAAACTTTTTATTTTTAATTTTATTAGAGAGAGAGAGAGAGAGAGACTCCATCTACTGGTTCATTACCCAAATAGCTTCAATGGACAGAGCTGGGCCTGTCTGAAGCTAGGAGCCAGCAGCTTCTTCTGTGCACAGGGGACCAAGTACATTATTTACAGAAATAAACTAGGCAATAAGCTTTAAAATGCAAACTGACATTAAGAAGTCTAATATGAAATTTATATGTTCATGAAAATACTCTAAATTTTCTTACCATTAACTTTATACTCAATAAAATATTTTGACCTCATATTAAAAATAAATGTATAAATGTTATTATTTTTTGTTTTGTTTTGTTTTGTTTTTTAACTTTTATTTGATGAATATAAATTTCCAAAGTACAGATTATGGATGACAATGGCTTCCCCCCCATAACGTCCCTCCAACCCGCAACCCTCCCCTTATCCAATCCCTCTCCCCTTCCATTCATGTCAAGATTCATTTTCGATTCTCTTTATATACAGATCAGTTTAGCATACATTAAGTAAAGATTTCAACAGTTTGCTCCCACACAGAACATAAAGTGAAAAATACTGTTTGAGTACTCGTTATAGCATTAAATCTCAATGTACAGCACACTAAGGACAAAGATCCTACATGAGGAGTAAGTGCACAGTGACTCCTGTTGTTGACTTAACAAATTGACACTCTTGTTTATGGCCTCAGTAATCACCCTAGGCTCTTGTCATGAGCTGCCAAGGCTATGGAAGCCCCCTGAGTTCACTGACTCTGATCATTTTTAGACAAGGCCATGGTCAAAGTGGAAGTTCTCTCCTCCCTTCAGAGAAAGGTACCTCCTTCTTTGATGACCCATTCTTTCCACTGGGATCTCACTCGTGGAGATCTTTCATTTAGGCTTTTTTTTTCCCAGAGTGTCTTGGCTTTCCATGCCTGAAATACTCTCATGGGCATTTCAGACGGATCCACATGCCTTAAGGGCTGATTCTGAGGCCAGAGTGCTGTTAGGACATTTGCCATTCTATGGGTCTGCTGTGTATCTCACTTTCCATGTTGGATCATTCTCTCCCTTTTTGATTCTATCAGCTAGTATTTGCAGACACTATTCTTGTTTATGTGATCCCTTTGGTTCTTAGTCCTATCATTATGATCAATTGTGAACAGAAATTGATCAGTGGGACTAGTGAGATGGCATTGGTACATGCCACCTCGATGGGATTGAATTCGAATCCCCTGGTATGTTTCTAACTCTACTGTTTGAGGTAAGTCAGCTTGAGCATGTCCCGAATTGCACATCTCTTTCCTCTCTTATTCCCACTCTTATATTTAACAGCGATCACTTTTCAGTTAAGTTTCAGCACTTAAGAAGAATTGTGTATTGCTGTATTATAAGATCCCTCTAATTCTAAATGCCTGTGACTCTTAAATCATTAGCATTTATTGACTTCTTTTCACCTAAGAAAGCATCATAATTCACACTTACTTGACTTTTATGTATCAATATATGCTTTTGCAAGAGTCATATAATGTATGTAGGGTATATACCTTGCTTCCAGTAAAGTTGCCATGCTCAGTCCTGTAAGCTGTGAACAAGACAGTTTCAGTTCTTCAGCATTACACACAACTGTAAATTCCAGCAGCGTAACAGAAGTATTATCAGTATATACAAAGGAAGAAAGAGATTTACAAAATTTTTAGAAAGGCATTAGTATAGTAAATAAATATATTTCTTTCTAAAGTTATAACATTTGAATATTTAGAACAGGAAAACTAAACAAGTCCTTGCCAATAATAACCTATATTGGGGCCCATATAGAACTCATTTTCCATCTTATGATACTAAAAGAATTGGGGTTATAAGGAAAAAATGAAGTCACACATGCAGAAATTTTAACCAAAACAGAATATAGATAGTGTATTTGTGTCATCTATAATCAAACACATAAGAACATACTATATTCCAGTAAATGATTTCTGAATATTTTTAAGTTTTATTGATGAGGGAATTTCCTTTTCATTGTACAGCAGTTATTCCCCTTTCCATAAAAGTGAAAATGATATTTCTCTTTCTTTTAAGATTTATTCTATTTATTTGAAAGACAGGGACACAGAGAGAGGTAGAGACAGAGAGAGAGGTCTTCCATCCGTTGGCTCACTCCCCAGATGACCACAATGGCCAGAGCTGTGCCAATCCAAAGCCAGGAGACAGGAGCCTCCTATGGGTCTCCCATGTGGGTACAGGGGCCTAAGGACTTGGACCATCCTCCACTGCCATCTCAGGCCACAGCAGAGAGCTGGATCAGAAGAAGAGAAGCTGGGACTAGAACCTATGCCTATATGGGATGTCGGCACTCCAGGCCAGGGTGTCAACCCATTGAGCCACAGCGCCAACCCCCAAAATGATGTTTCTTTAAATTAAAAGAAATGGATGAAGTAATTCTGTAAAATATGTGAATTTTAATTGATCTATCAGAATTTATTGATATACAGACACACAGAAAATAAGTGCTTTTACATCTTATCATACAGATCATGATAGTACAGCACCTGATATACTGTGCAGAAGATTCTACAGTTACTTACAGTCCCAGTAACTTTACATATGGAATAATCTGCTTGTTTAGAGAATTTCCCAGAATCTTTTACCTACACAGCATTTAACATTAGCTTCTTGAACCCCTCCACTTTTCGTCTTACTTACTCTGAGTCCCAATCAATACAGGAAAATGGCTGTGGAATCACTCTTTTGCTGAGTAATGGGAAGATGAAGAAATTAATGAGGAAAGAGAATTGTACAGCAAAGACCAAGGCAAACCACAGGAGGTCAGGAAAGTCATCTGACCAAGTGAACTACATGCTCTGTCTTTTAATGCTTTTCTTTTCTTGCTTAAAAAGAGATCAGGGCTATTGCTATCTTTGATAACTAAGGAGAAGATAACCACAATGCTCAAGAAAAGTGAGTCAATAAGACACCAGAGCTAAGAAAAAATCCCAGAAAATAAAAAATAGAAAAAATCACCATGCACTCCCTTCACAGCCAGGCGCTTCCTCCTGTAGTGATTGACTCTCAGCATCGTGTCCATTAATCAGAGAGAAAAAACAAAAAAACAAAAAACAAACAAACAAACAAAAAAACAAAAAAAAACTTGCACCTCAAAAAACTTTTCAGAAGATCCATATATATACACACACACACACATATATATATATATATATATTTTTTTTTTTGTAAAAGCCTTGAGAGAAGGAGAGAGAGAATAATCAAACAAAATGTATGGAAACAAATTAGCTGGACATGCAAAGTAAGCTACGATTCACCCAGAGTTTAAACAAATCACAAACTTCACAGTTTAATACTCGGGGAGGGGACGAGAACAACGAACAAGTAATACATCTCTCAACCTCACTAATAAAATGTGGCAAGACCTTACTATGGGGGCGGGGGCACAGATCAAGGCTAAATAAAGCTTTAACTCCATAGCGATTACTGCGGCGGCAGCCCCGGCCCCGCGGCTTGCTGGGAGCCATTCCTGCTACATCTCACCGCGGCTTGGTTAGTCACGGCTCCTCCCCACAGCACTGCGGGTCTGGCGTGGAGAGTCGGAGAGAGAGACAGAACACAAGGAACCCCAAATAACAACGAAAACAAAAACTGTAGTAACAATAGAGAGAGACCACAAGGGCTGCGGGAACTGGTTTCACATAAACAGACCAAGGGGCCAGCGGCTGTCACCTGCACTTGCCTCCACGGAAAATGGAAGCCTGTTCGGGAACTGGCTCGTGCCTCCCCGTTACAGGTCAAAGCCAGCTCTGCCTCCCTTGTTAGCCTTCTGCATGCCCAGACTATGCTTTCCATCCTCAAAGTGTCTCCACCTCCTTCAGGGCCCCTGCCACCAGACCAACCCGTGAGCAAGGGGGAGAGGGACACGCGTGCTTTCACGTGCATGGACACAAGCACAGGAGCGGCGCCTGGAACCAGGAGGGGCTGGAGGGGGCGGGCAGGAGGCAGCATATATATATAACATAAGTGATTAAAAATATCTAAACAGAGAAGACAGTTAATTTTTTTAGAAATCAGAAGAGAGAAACACTATTTAAAAATTACTGTGGCAACACACAAAAGGGATGGAAAATTGTTACTTCAACTAGCATAGTGACACTGAGAGTATAAAAGTGGGGGAAATACGACCTACAGAGAAAAGGTGGGTCAGTTTTATTTATTTATTTTTTTATTTTTTTGACAGGCAGAGTGGACAGTGAGAGAGAGAGACAGAGAGAAACGTCTTCCTTTGCCATTGGTCCACCCTCCAATGGCTGCTGAAGCCAGCGCACTGCAGCTGGCGCACCGTGCTGATCTGAAGGCAGGAGCCAGGAGCTTATCCTGGTCTCCCATGGGGTGCAGGGCCCAAGCACTTGGGCCATCCTCCACTGCACTCCCTGGCCACAGCAGAGAGCTGGCCTGGAAGAGGGGCAACTGGGACAGAATCCGGCGCCCCGATTGGGACTAGAACCCAGTGTGCCGGCACCACAAGGTGGCGGATTAACCTATTGAGCCATGGCGCCTGCCAAGGGTCAGTTTTAACAGTTGAAAAAAAGGGATCATAAAGAACAGGAATGAAATTAACTGAAACGATGAGTAGAGAAAAGTTTGGGAGAAAAAAGCATGGTTTGTTGAGATATATTAATGAAAGAATTACACATAAACTCCAGCAAACAATAGGACATGGATAATTAAAACCAGAGTTATATCCAAACTCAGAGCAAGCAAAAACATTCCACTTTCATACGTTCATGCTTAAAATCCCCATAAATGCTACATCATTATCATTCAAGGTTTCATGACATTTCAATACAAATTAACATATTTGCAGTCTAAGATGTGTACTTCTCCTATATTTCTGACATTAGGATGTGCTAGCAAATGGTGGCATGCCATCATTGAAAGGCTTTTGATTTTTTGTATTTGAAACAATAATGGTATATTTTACTATGATGACATCATGAAATCAATGAAACTGCTATCCCTGAAGCATACTAATCTTTTAGTTTAAAAATATTTGCACTTTTCAGTTAATGCCAATTCTGATATTTCTTTTAACCAAGACAAAGGAAGATGATCAGCTACCACAAGAACATGACAAACAAAATCTACCTTTTGAAATCCTAAAAAGAATGAAAGCAAGCATCATCATATTATTTTATAACATTAAACCCAGTAAAAAAAGGTCAGAATAATGACAACATAACAGAGATTTATGATTATATTCTAAATGCTGGAATGGCAACTTTGATAAGCAGTAATTACATGAAAATATTTCTACCTCTTAGGCAAAAAACTGAAAAAAAAAACACTGAAATGCTGTGGTTCACACTGAAACTATCAAATCATTTTAGTCTGGAAGGCTACTATAGTGACTGATTTGCTTACAATTTCCCATTGTTAGAGGAACACATTTCAAACTAGAATGAAAAGTCAAATATCAGCATACATACATACTTGCAGACACACACACACACACACACACACAATGTATATTTGGGGGAAGGCTTCAGGCTTTTTTAAAATTCATTATCTAATAGTGCTTTAAAAATTCAGAGACTTTTTTAATTTAAAACCAACATTCCTGGTTTTAAGCGTTTTTAAGAGCCTAAAAATATGTTCCTGATCCAAGCTCAAAATAATAACAGAAATAGATAGGAAAATAATACAAACAATAAAAAGCAGAAAAGGGGTAACAGTTTAAGATGAAATAAAAAATGTAGTACAGGAAAGATGGCGGAATAGGAAGGGAGCACACTGATAGTCCGGGTAGAGACAGTTTAATAAAAGTGGAGATACTGCAGATTCAAGGAAGAGTAGGGGAGGAAACAGCAGAAGAAACTCTTCCGGAACGTGTGATTCACAGTGGACCTGCATGGAGAGCATGGGAGCCCACAGTTCGGGACACCAGCGGCAGACTCAACACACCAGCGCTGGAACGCGAGGTGAGCTGAACCTCAATAGCCCGAGACACTGGCAGGCAAGCGGGGAGAGGAGACTAGAGGGAACGACCCCCGGAGGGGAAAAGTTCACCAGGCTAACTGGAAGAGAGAGAGAAAAAAAAAGGTGACTGGTATGGACACGGGTTTCTCTCTCTCCGCTCACCTCTCAAAGGTGAGCAAGACAAAGAGCAGGCGCCATCTTGGACATACGTGATAAGCAGAGCGACCTCAGGTCTGCATTGGCCCTGAGCCTAGCAGAAAAACCTGACTCAGGGCGGGGTGAATTAACAGGAGATTAGGACCTAGTAAATTTGTGGTGCTACTGAACTGAGACTGTGAAAAAAGAGACGGTGGGAGAGAGAACTCACGGAATTCACGTGAGCACTCTCCAGAGACGCTACAATTCCGTAACTTTGGCAACCCAGTGGGAGACTGAAGGAGAATTTGAGCCCACTCTGAGGGCAGAACAGATTCCCTGTGTGGTCCTTGGGAAAGAGCTTCTGATCTCTGGCTCCTGTGGGTATATCATTTGCCTGCTAACTACCTCCAACTTCGTTCAGCTGTGCGGAATTACTTCCCTTTTGAATCAAAAAAAGAAAGAAAGAGAGAGAGAGAGATTTACCATGCCTAACCTGGGAGTGT